TCACGATGGGGTCACGGCATTCTATGCAAGGCACCTCTAACTGGGCCACATAGGAATTTCTGGTTGAATTGTAAAGAACGCCCGAAATTTTAGAATGTAATCCGCCCAAATAATGGAGTACCAGCCGATTTACCAATTTTTTGAAAGCCTGAGTCCAAATTGAAAATCTGTCTCCATTACGAATTGACGCCATAAATGTTGGAAGTTGAATCGACATTTGACGTTAATTGCAGCCTGGGCGTGAAAAGAAGTCAAAAACTGACAGCTGATGGCAGGTCTAACTGGAGCTTTTTTTTTTTCAATTTTTTTTTTTGCATGAAGGGGTCTCTGTAAAGCATTTTTGAAAGGGCCCGTAATCTGGTCGGGTCATTCATTTCTCTACATATGGTATGGTGATGTGAGGAGAGACAATTGATGCTTGTAACTATACATTAGTTGGTGATGAGTTCAATGCTTCACAGTAATGTGGTAAAGGGGAGCAATTAATAAGTCCCAAGGACAAACGCAGTCTGTCATTGGTGTACACTTAGAGGAGCAGTGCTTCTCATATGGCCAACTTTACGTTGCCTGCTCTCGAGCCAGCAGGCGCGATGATGTGTTCCTTTATTCACCCTCACAAAAAGCTGAAAATGTGGTCTACACTGAAGTCCTCAGCCATTCCTCAGCAAACTCCATTCCATTTTTCCTTTCCATGCAAGAAAATTGGAGTTTGCGTATCACTTGGGCCTTATTAATTGTCATAGCAAAACAGGATGCGACTGGGAATTGGGATCTTCTGAAAGTGAAGGGTACGTCAGCAGCTGATGGATACAAATGCATCCTTGGGATAAGCACTTGCTCCCCTTTACTGCAGCCAGTTATAATTTTGTCCTCAATAATGTTTGGGTGTAGGGCCTGAATTACCATCCTGGTCCCATTACAGAGTTTCGGTGGACACAGGTTTCTAAGCAACATAACCGGGATCCCCACTTTAAGTTCCAGAATGTGAGGAGGGAGACCAGTGGGGTGGAGGCTGTTTAAGAACTCCACTAGTAAGTTTGCTATTTCAGCAGGGTCTGGAGTTCTGTCAATGGATTTGTAAACATGCAACACCCCTGGCACAGTTTCCAGAAGCTGTCTATTAAGAGTTGTCACAGTGGTGTTTTTTGGGGCAAGAATGGCCCGCCCAGCAAGCCACTCAACATTGTTGTAGTTGGTTTGAAGATCAGGAAAAACTGATTCCCTGAGTGTTGCAGGCATTGTGACCACTGTAGACAACCCTTGGATGTTTACAAATCCATTAGTGTCTGCTGGAATATCTTCCCCAAGGGCTAATAATGAATTCGAAAATTTGATCCCAACATTGCCAGTTAGGTGTGCATGCATGTTGGTGGTAAGGTGCAATGGTCTAACAGTGGGCCAAAATTGTGAAATTTCAATCACGCTGAATAGTGTTGGCCCTTGTCCCCTTAGGTACAACGGGGAGGGTCTGGCGAAAAGTCACCGGATAGAAGGACAGTTATACCTCCCATAAGGTCATTGAAGTTTCAAATATCCTTCAGAGAACGATTTACAGCCTTGAGTGCAGTTTTGGGACTGACAGTGCACTCATCCCAGATGATGAGCTTACATCGCCTGAGTACCTCCGCTAGACCTGATTACTTGGCTATACTGCATACAGCTGTTTCTGCCTTAATCAGCTCCTCTGCATGTGTAATGTTAATGGTATTAGGGGTCTTCAGTTGCTGACGTGCAGATGTTCGTCATGTAGGAGCCATTTGAAGGGTTGTAGAAATGCTGTGTAAGAATGCGAATAGAAGTTGATGCCGAGGCTGAAGTGGTGCAATCTCATTGTATACGAAAACTAAAAATGCAGTGGAGCGGTATGGAAAAAGCTTCTCCTAGCTATAGGCTGTGCTTTCTGGCAGCACAAAAACGTCACTGTAGGAAAAAGTTACGGAACCAAAACGTTGAAGGTTAAGTAGAAACACTGAGGTGTACTCATTTGATAGTAAAGGCAGAAGAAGAAGTAACTTTAACAGCAGTTAACTGTCAAATAGCAAAAACTGAACTACTAAAAGGTAGAAATAGGTATGGAATGCTAAGATGGTCTGGGCTTGCAACCCAGGCAGCACACGGAGATAAAATGGGTAATGCAAATTTTTAAGCAAATAGGCAGTGAAGTACTGAGGTGTACTGGCCATGTAGTAAAGGCAGTACATTTTGACTTACAGTGAAAACTGTTGTGGAGGTAAAATAAGTTGGGCAAACGATTGAGTAAATAAGAAACTTGTGACAGCAGTTAACTGTCTAATAGTAAAACTGAACTATGAAAAGGTAGAAATAAGGCTTGGCCATAAACAGGGTCAAGCTGCCTGCTGCATATGCAGCTTGGTTCTAATGCACATGATGCAAGCAATGAGAATGCAAGGAGCTGCAATGAAGTGTTTACTCGTTTGGTTTGTGCGACAATGAAAAGCTGCTAACCGTTTGCCAGCATTAGCTTTGAAATGGATTGGGAGGAAGCCCCGCTGTTTTAGCGCAAAAACTCCTCATCAGGTCTGGGATGCAGCCTGGGCTAGGGTAAAAGGTTTAAAGAATTGGAAAATGGACTGCTGAGGGCAGAACCATTTTCACTCAGCACGTATGCGGGTTTTTTTCAGTAAAGACGTGAATAAAGGAAGTGCTTATTTTGGTAAGATGCGACAATTAAAGCAAAAGTGTTGACAAAGTCGAATATGTCATTTGTGGCTCAAAGTCAGACCTGGTAGCAGGGATAAAAAAGCCGAATTTCAATAGCCCTGCATCCATTCCAGAATTTGAGGTCAAATATTTTCTTCTCCTCCACTGCACGCACTGACCTGTTTCTTCCCGCACATAGCCTGACCTTAAATTAATCTGCATTTAGGAAATACCCAACCGGAAAAACATTTTTAAGACCAATTGTCGATTTGCACTCTGTTTGGGGGGCACTCAGAGTTGAAACTTCACATGGTGACTCCCAATGGCCTCCTTATAAATCCGGTCGGTTTTCACTATAAACTGACATGCGGCTCAGGCGCAATCTGGGCGTATCGTTTTTTGGGTTTTAGCGATTTTCCGTGCTGTTTAGGGGTCCATGGTCATGAACCTTCTGGACAACACTTCTAATGGTAGACTCTAAGAGGGTGTCAAATTTGGTTGAAATGTGATCATTCCTTCTGTAAGCAGATTTTTTCGATTATCGATTTTTTTGGAACCTGAGACCGGACTCAAAAATTAGGCTCCGTCATGTTCTTATGACAGCCATTTGCAAACTTGTGGTGAAAACCGCATCGAAATCGGGTGAAAAATGCAGCCTGGGTGAGGTAACAATGCCCACAATAGACACACAGACAGACAACATGAAAAATATAAATAGTAGATAAATAAAGCAACAAGGTCGGAAGACTCAGCAGAGTTTAATGATCCCATGGAAATATCAAATTGGTCAATAGAGTTGTTCTTAATTCACTGTTCTTTGTTAAGGATAAGAACAGAACCTCTACAGTTCATAATAAGCTCCTTGTTGCAGTTCAGTTTCAAAGCCAAAGTAAAAGATCCCTGGAAATAGTAAAAGTTCTATGCTAACAATTTCTTTTCTCGCTCTTCTAGCTTGTGGAATTCTCTTCTTGCTTTCTAGTCAATTTTGATCGTCAAAAATTTAAATGCGGCATCAATAATTATCTTCTGTTTTCTTAATTGCTGTTCTTTTATTGTTTTCTGTCCTTAATAAGATTTTGTCACTGAGGTTAAGCAATGTTGAGCCTGGTCTAGATGGGTGACAGCTTGGGAATACCAGGTGCTGTAAGTTTGGATGAACGGGTGGTATAATGAATAACAGTTTAGAATTGGAAATCAGAGAGCTGAGTTCCAATTCCAGTCACATTCATTATATTCACTTACATGCAAATACTCTTGGGAAAGGTATGAATCCACCTCTTCTCTCCCCCCGCCCCAGGTATGAGTTAATTAACAGAACTTGTATCTGTAAATCATTTTCATCTTTAAAAAAAGCTCTTGCAATGAATGTAAATATATTTTCTGGCTTTAAATAACCAGTGAAAGGTTTAGAAACCATAAAAACAAATCAAACAATTCAAATTAATAATACTTTTGTTTCTCATATTCTCTCACATTCAGCAACCTCATGTATTTTTGCAGCTTTATTGCCTTGCTTGGGGTGAAATGTATTAAAGAAATTGTTTTTAAAATCAAGCAAAAGGTATTTTAAACCATTCTTAATAGCCAAAATCTTCCTGTCCCTCCAAATTAGATTGTAATCTGAGATATATTATCTACTTAAGATCTCTGAGATTTTTATGCAGTCCAAAGTTCAAAATTCTTTCATTTTATTCAACCATTCTTGGACAGCGTTGGCTGTATGTGAATCATGAAATTGGGAACTAAACAAGATTTATTGGCTCTTGGTTAGCTTTCAACTCTGAAATGGTTGTTATAAAATCATCAATAAAAGCCTTCATTGAAAGAACAGAATGTTTATTTCTTTACAGTCTTTTATCCTGTAGAATAACAATTCCATTACTAATGGAAAAAGCAAAAGTGAATTCATTCCATCTTGATAGACTGATGTCCATTTTTTGCTATCTAGTAGAATACTCTGCATTGAAAGCTCTCATTAATATGAACCATTTTTCTTCTGGAATTCAGAAATATTCTATATATATAATAAATTTGTTGACTGTTTATAATAGTTGGTTTATGTAGAGAAAAATGAGTACCTAGAATGCAGGATTTAGTGTTTTAGAGGATACAATAAAAATTATAAAAAGAAAAATGTGCATATATAACAGATCAAGTCTGTTGAGTAAGTAAACCTGACCATATGTATGTAGGCTGAAATTATTAATTAATCCACATTAATATTGATTACTTACAAAATGTTTTGAAGAGGTATGTGATATATTTCAGAAAAATGAAAAATGATATTTATTGTATCTTAGCTGCATTATATCAGTAATTATAAATATAATTTATTTCAGGCATGTAATTGATGATGAATATTCAAGTTCTTATGGGGCCAAATTCCCAATCAAATGGGCTGCTCCAGAAGTCCTTAAATACACCAAATTCAGCAGTAAATCAGATGTATGGGCCTTTGGTAAGTTGTCTTTTATTATTTATTGCACAGAGCTGTAAATAGTATAACATTTTTTAAACTTAGAAATATTCGGCAAACTACAATAAACCATATCTGTCAACAACACTAACTCAAACATTTTTGGCATAGAAATTTTTGTTGGCTTGTATAATTTTAATGCATACAAGCCAACAGATACTCAGTTCTGTATTATAATTTAGCTACATTTTACATAGTAATTCTAGTAACTCTAATTATGCAGCAATATATAAGATTCACAAACTAACAACATTAACAAAATTTACAGTCAATATGGCAAGTAACAAATAAAATTTTCTGTCTTGTGTCACTCGTCTGAAATCAGTACTTCAGAAATATAATGAAAATCCCAACTTTTTTCAGTAAGCTTCTACCTGTAAACATTAATGACTAACTATATTGTAGTATTGTTGCATATTTGAATGAAAGTTATACAATTGTGAGTATTAGCTAACTATACCATAAACAGAAATCTTGTAAGAGTTCACTTTAGCAGTGAACTCTAAAAATGGAATTTCAGCTGTAGTCACTTGTAACTTTACATACAAATGAAAACCTCTTTCATTGTTAATAAAAGACATGTGGAACAATCTTGAATGTAAAACTTGGAGCTTTAAACCTAATCTGACTGCTAATGATGATTGTCACACTTGACTACATTCACTTAGGCTTTTCTTTTCTAATGCACTTACTGTTGAAGTCTTGCTGTCATTCTCTTTCTCTATTAATGGCTCCAGATTGTATTTATTTCTATTAAGGAGGCCCTCAAAGAATAGCATATTAGCTGATTCTTTCAACTCCAGTATTCTTTTCTGTTTAGTATTTTTAATTCAGTCTATGAGTATACTTTTCCCTCCATACATGATCAGCTTTACCTGATTTCATGGTCTCAACCTTAATTATGACTTTCAGTGTCCACCGGCCTTTTATATTCTTTGCCACAACTGAAAAGCAATAAATCATATTCTTGATCATGTTCTCTTCTGTGTTAGGCTTGACTTGACAGAGATTTCTCTATAGGTTTGAGCTGCTTCTGAATATTCTGATGTTACATGAATCGCAGATTTTAAAAAAACTTTTCTAATAAGTCCTTGACATAAATAACTGTGGCAGTTTTCTGGTCCTTCTCATTGACACATCTGTTTCTGCCTGTTTTTTTCTTTTACATTTATGACATTTAAAATGAAGGTTATATTTTATGATGGTTTATTTCTTTTCAGTTTGACATTCGTTAAAATAATTACCTAAATAAAAGTAGGGTGAATTATAGAAGCTATTTCATTTTATATAATCCTTTTTTTTCACAAAATCATTTTTCAATGTTTATATCTATATATATAACACTGCTGGAGAGCACATTTTCTTTATTAAGTCTCTCGAATGCACAGACTTGCACACATAATTCACACTGTTTAAAAATGTAAATTATTAAATTGCTTTCTCTTTTAATTAAAGTAGCATTTTCAAAGTGAAATTAAGACAAAAGTGTATAGAAAGTACTTTAATTGACAGATCATCCACAGTAAATCTTTGTCGAAATTCTCCTTTTTTACTTTTCTTGGCAGATCTTCTGTTATCACAATGTGGGATACTTAATAACAAAATTGATAAAAATATAAACAAAAAGAAAAAGAAATTGGCTAGACTATAAACCCAAAACACATATTAATATAAAAAAAATTAAGTTTAAAATTTAAGCATCCCTTCCTCTTTCTGTGCATATGTAGTTACATAAACCTCACTTTAGTCTGAAGTCCTAAAGGACAAAATGCATCACATGAAAATGTCCACTTTTATATTTACATAGACTCTAGCCCTGATATTGAGCACTTTAACCCATAAATATATCATCCCTTAAAACTATATTTTTATCATATATATATATATATATATATCCAGGATAATCTTGCAATGACCAAGGAATTGTCTCTCAGTGTGGATGCCAAGCTGATGTCATCAGCTAGGTCATTAATGAAGATTAAAAACAGTGTAGGGCCAATGATGGAGCCCTGGGGGACATCCACGATAGTATGAAAGGATGTAGACGAGTGGCCATTCAGGACAACTTTCATTTCGTGATTTGATAGGAATGACTGGATCAGCTTAAAAATGTGCCCAGAGATACTGTAGCTTTTCAGCATGTGGAGAAAACCTGAATGCCAGACCCTGTCAAAGGCTTTCAAGATGTCCAATGTTACAGCCCAAGCTTCACTGTTTTTATCAAGAGCATGATAGATTCTGTCTGCAATTATCGTTAGTACATCAGCAGTTGATCTAGTTGAAAGCCATATTTCTAGTAGAAAGCCATATTGCTTGTCAGAGAAAAGGCCCTGTGATAAGAGGTGATGATCCAATTCAGCATTGATTAGGGCCTCTAGGAGTTTCCAAAAAAGAGGCAAGAAGCTAATAGGCTAAATCAGCTACTAAGAAAATCAGTTCACTGTGTTGGGCAAATCAATTTTTCTCTCCAGAATTCTCTTACATATCTATAAGTCTACCATTTGTTCATGCTTAGAATATTGCTGCCATATATGCTCTGGTGCCCCTGCTATTTTCCTGGAGCTCCTTGATAAGATCCAAAGAAGAATCAGCAATATTATTGATCTTGATCTGGTAGTTCAGTTTCAGTCACTTTCCCATTGCCATAAGGTTTCATCTCTGTTCCTTTTTTTATAGATACTTTCATGGTAATTGTTTGGATGAGCACTTCACTCATTTTGACTGTACGAATTTAAGTTGAAGTAATCAGGGAAAATGTTATATTTAATGAAACAAGATAAGAAATTCATTTACAAATTTACACATTTGAAGTAGTCGGTAGCTTGTTTCAGAAAAAAGAATAAAATATTTAAAGTTCATAGTTTTCATGAATTGTCAAGAAGAGAAAATGTTCATATTAAATTATTGGACACAAAGTAATCTGCCAAAATGCTTAGAACAAATTAAGAGATTTCATTTTTCACATAAAAGTTATCGGGTTGTATTCAACATGAATGAAGATATATTTTAAGGTACTTAGTTTTGGAGTTGATAGTTCTTTGGAATTGCCCTGCTCTCATTAGTGGCTGATAATATATGACACCGACGTTATTCAAAGGCATGGAACTCTGCTTTTTCTCTCTCTCTGATCTGATATCTCTGCTTATTTACATCAAAAAGCGATTTCACATCGGCTTGTTACTTTTTTAAACTTTGCCTTGGTCTTTTCTTCAGCCTGAAGCCAAACCCTTTTTCTATTGGTCAAAATAAATTTTCACACAGGCTTGTGAATTTGAAAACAATGGAAAAAAAGAGAGTTATTTTTATTTTGTATTCACCACAAAGTGCAATACTAGACTGGTAGCAAGATATCATCAACTTACAGTTGAGCTAGCTAGATGTAGCCATAATTTATACGCTAAGTTTCTTATCCCACACTTCTTGCTTGTGGAACTCCCTCCTGGCTCCATGCTTTCCTACCATCTTTAACCGCATTCCAATTATTGTGATCAGATCCACATTCTTTCCAGTTCTCACAAGGAATGTTGCATTTCTTCATCACATCCTTGGTGCAGTCCTTAAAGCTCATCTTAGGTCTGACAGCATTTCTTGTCTTTGTTCACAGCTCGCCATAATACAGTTGCTTTGGAATGCAGCTGTCATCCATTCTGACGAGGTGACCTGCCCACTGAAGTTGATGTTTTAGTATCAAGGACTTGACATTATCACAGCCACTTCTCTCCATTACCCCTACATCACTAACAAACATTTGCCAGGTAATGCCAAGCAGTAATGTAAGAAGTACTGGTGGAATCGCCCAAGCATTTTCATTTGTCTGCAGTAGACCACCCATGCCTTGCAAGCGTAAAGGAGTGCTGTAAGCACACATGCATGATAGACCTTTAGTTTTGTACTCATTGAAATTCTGTGCTGAGACTACAGATGTTTATTCAGTTTTCCAAATGCATCACTAGCTTTTTGTATATGGTTTGAAATTTCCACATCACTATGACACAACATGCTCACTGTGGTCCCAAGATACACAAATGTACAAACAGCCTTCAACCTCTTACCATAGACAAAGATGCTTGTTTCACAATATGGCTTCCTTGGAGCTGGTTGGTACATGACTACTGTCTTTTTCAAACTAATAGTCAATCTCAATGCAGGGCATGCATTAGAAAAAGCATATCTCTTTTCAAGTGAGCCACAAGATCACAGTCATCAGCATATAGCAAATCCCTGATCAACGATAAGTGAACCTTCAACTTTGCATCAAACCTCCTGATGTTAAACAACCTTCCTGTTGAACAATAGCGAATGTAAATACAAAGGTTGCAGTTCTTAAAGGCCTGTTCAAAAAAGATAGAGAAGTACAGGGCAAATAGGGTTGGAGCTGGAATGTCACCCTGCTTAACTGCATTCTGAACTGCCACCAGCTTAGAGAGCTTTCCACCAACATTAACCCATGCCTTCATGAAACAAGAGAAGAATGGAAACAAACTTTTTGGAACATCCCAGCTTCCCTAAAATATTCCACAAAGCCTTTCTGTTTACAGTGTCAAATACCTTTGTCAAGTCAACAAATACCTGGTAGAGATCCATATTCTACTCAACACACTTTTCTTGCAGTTGTCTGGCTGTGAAGACCATATCTACAGTGCCACGTCCAGCCCTAAAGGCTGACTGTGACTCCAAAAGATGTGGTGCAACAAGCAATCCAGCAGAACTCCACAAAGAACCCTGCCACAACAGACAACAGTAATATGCTATGATAATTTCCACAGTCATTGGAAATTGGAATTTGAACTCTCCAATTCCTCAGTCTGAGCTGCTATCCATTACTCCACCATGCCTCCTACTTTTGCAATTAGGACATCAATAACTAGTCAGTTGGAAGAGTTTCCGACAGGTGTCAATGATAGAATGATCAGGATGAGAGTTCCTCTAGTATGTGGAAGATGTGCAACCTTGATTAGTGTTTATGCACCAACCTTGGTTTGTACAGATGAAGTAAAGGAAGTTTTTATGATGAACTAAAGTCTCATGTTAGGAAAGTACCTGTAGCAGACAAAATTTTCATTCTTTGAGATCAAAATGCATGGGTGGGTCATGACTGTGAGGCATGGAAGGTTCTTGGTAAACATGGGGTTGGAAAGTGCAAGAGGAATAGTCTGTTGTTGCAAATGTGCACAGAACTGAACCTGTTCATTGGCAGCACAATTTTTCAACAATAGAACAAATATAAGACAACATAGATACATCCTAGATCAAAACAGTG